ACTGTGGGGGTTCAGACTCCGGAGGGGCTCCTACAGCCCAAGCGCAATATCAATATCACACCGCTGCGGCGCGCAGCCCGATCCATCCTCAGTCCAGAAATGCACATAAGCCCCTTGGGCAATAGTAAAATAACAGTCTCAACTCAAAACGTCAGTAAAATATCATTTAGTTTTTCAAATATTAGAAAGATAGCTGAGTTTGCGAAACAGTATTTTAAACCTTGGACTGTGATAAAATAATATGCAAAGTAATGCAAAAACAGTGATATCAATCCCTGAAGGATTCAAACAACTGGCACGAAGCCCAAATATAGCAATCAGCCCAAATAATGATGATAACAAGTAGTTTCAGTCAATTACGCAATAAAACCAACAACCGGGACGGACTAAGTCACAATCCCCAACGGTGCTCTACCCCACGCTCATACCTGGCGTGCAAGTCACCACAATACAGCACTATGATGTGCAAATTCGGGGTTTCAAACCCTCAGGATATCATTTACAAGTATTACTCACCTCGGACCGGTGAAATCCCTAGCTTGCGACGCCTTTGCCCCTCAATCGGCCTCCACGCGCGTCGAATCTAACCAAAACCAAAGCGAATACATCACAATATGCTAAGGGAACAATACCCAATCGAAAACAATCGAAAATTAGCAAGAATCTCGAAACTAGCAAAACCCGAGCCCCGGGCCTACTTCTCGAAAAATTACGAAATTTACATCACCGGATTCCTCGTCTCGCCACGAGTCCATATATATATAATTTACCAAAATCGAAGTTCGTTTGACCCTCCAAATTCCATTTTTACATCATAATTTTCTCAAACCCTAACTTCCATTTTTAACCTTTAATTCCTTGGATTTTCAATGTTAATCCATGATTTTACACCATAATATCATAATCTAAGTCTAAGAATCCATACCTGATGATAGCCCTCGAAACCCTCTTCAAAAATCGCCCAAAATCTCCTAAGTCCGAAGTCCAAAATGTTTCTTCTCTTTCAAAATCGTGAAAACACTGTTCACTTAAACTCAGCCAGGTTTCGCTTCTGCGGTTGGGATACCGCACCTGCGGCTCCTGCTTCTGCGCAAAATAACTGCTTCTGCGGTCTAACTTAAAATCCTCAGGACCGCTTCTGCGGTCACCACCCGCTCCTGCGATGTCCGCTTTTGCGGACTGCCTTCCGCTTCTGCGGAAATTGCCAAGCCCTCAAGGACCGCTTCTGCGATCACAGCTCCGCTTAAGCGGCTCCCTTCAAGACCCGCAGAAGCGAGAATACCAGAAACAGCATGCCTTCAGCTGTATGAAATTCCAAAAACTCCCCGTTAGCCATCCGAAATCATCCCGAGGCCCCCCGGGACCTCAACCAAAAGCACCAACATGACTTAAAACATTATCCAAACTTATTCCAATCATCAAAACACATCAAACAACACTAAAATTATCGATTCTCATCGGATTCAAGCCTAAGTTCTTTAAAACTTCCGAAACTCGCATTCGATCAAAAACCCAACCAAGCGACGTCCGACTGACCTAAAAATTTGCAAACATATCCAAAATCACCTAACGAAGCTACTGCAACTCTCGGAATTCCATTCCGACCCTCGGATCAAAATCTCACCTATCAACCGGATTTCGCCAAAATGCTAACTTCGTCAATTCAAGCCTAATTCTACACCGGACCTCCAAAACCAATTCAGATCACGCTCCCAAGTCACAAATCATCTCCCGAAGCTAACCGGATCATCGGAAATCACATCCGAACCTTCGAACTCATAAGTCAACATCCGGTTGACTTTTCCAATTTAAGCCTTCCTTAAAGAGACTAAGTGTCTCATTTCCTATCCAAACCAATTCAATTCAACTCTAACTCACTCGTTGCTGATAATGAAACATGAAGAAGCAATAAATGAGGAAAACGGGGCGGTAATACCTGATACGACGGGTCGGGTCGTTACATCTCGAAATAACACCTCTACGGCCAAGGGCCATCGCCAAAAAAGAAGAATTCGACCTCGCTCGGATTACAACGAGTTAACATTTCGACCTTAGCTCGAAATAACACCCCTACGGCCAAGGGCCATCGCCAAAAAAGAAAAATTCGACCGCGCTCGAATTACAACGGGTTAACATTTCGGCCTTAGCTCGAAATAACACCCCTACGGCCAAGGGCCATCGCCAAAAGAGAAGAGTTCGACCTCGCTCGAATTACAACGGGTTAACATTTCGGCCTTAGCTCGAAATAACACCTCTACGGCCAAGGGCCATCAGCCCATCGCCAAAAAAGAAGAATTCGACCTCGCTCGAATTACAACGGGTTAACATTTCGTCCTTAGCTCGAAATAACACCCCTATGGCCAAGGGCCATCGCCAAAAGAGAAGAGTTTGACCTCGCTCGAATTACAACGAGTTAACATTTCGGCCTTAGCTTGAAATAATACCCCAACGGACAAGGGCCATCGGCCCATCACCAAAAAAAAAGAATTCGACCTCGCTCGAATTACAACAGGTTAACATTTCGGCCATAGCTCGAAATAACACCCCTACGGCCAAGGGCCATCGCCAAAAAAGGAGAGTTCGACCTCGCTCTAATTACAACGGGTTAACATTTCGGCCTTAGCTCGAAAAAACACCCCTACGGCCAAGGGCCATCGCCAAAAAGAAGAATTCGACCTCACTCGAATTACAACGGGTTAACATTTTGGCCTTAGCTCAAAATAACACCCCTACAGCCAAGGGCCATTGCCAAAAAGAAGAACTCGACCTCGTTCGAATTACAACGGGTTATCATTTCGGCCTTAGCTCGAAATAACACCCCTACGGCCAAGGGCCATTGCCAAAAAAAGAAGAGTTCGATCTCGTTCGAACCACGACGGGTTAACATTTCGACTAGCTCGAAATAAGACCCCTACGACCAAGGGCCATCGCCAAAAAAGAAGAGTTCGACCTCGTTCGAACCACGATGGGTTAACATTTTGACCAGCTTGAAATAATACCTCTACGGCCAAGGGCCATCACCAAAAAGAAGAATTCGACCTCGCTCAAACCACGACGGGTTAACATTTCGACCAGCTCGAATAACACCCCGACGGCCTAGGGCTATCGCCAAAAAAGAAGAGTTCGACCTCGTCCAAATCAATATTCGGCCTCGTTCGAATCAACCTTCGTCCTCGTCCGAATCAAACTTCGGCCTCGCCCGAATTAACAATAGGCGACCTCGTCTGAATTCACAATGGCGACCTCGTCCGAATTCACAGTGGGCGACCTCGTCCGAATTCACAGTAGGTGATCTCGTCCGAACACACATTCGGCGACCTCGTCCGAATTCACATTAGGTGACCTCGCCCGAATTCACATTCGGCGATCTCGCCCGAATTCACATTCGGCGACCTCGCCCGAATTCATATTCGGCGACCGCGCCCGAATTCCCATTAGGCGACCTCGTCCGAATTCACATTCGACCTCCTCGCCCGTCCATATCCACGAACGCGAATGACCTCCTCCGATGTCGCCATCCTTGCCAAAGCCACTATCCTGGCCTCGACGGCCTTCTCCAACTCTACTGTCTTCTCGATCGACTCATCACTCGAGTCATTGGCCCTGATCGAACTCCGCTAAAGTTCAGCCCGCGGGGATACCACTTTGACCTAAAGATTGGCACCCTCAGTTGCGATCCACACTAGTCGACCTCCCCATCCGAATTTCTCGAACTACGATTAATGAAGTCCGCTCACCGAGCTCGACCAAGAGACGAACTCGATAAGCGGAGAGACTAACTGTATGGGTCAAAATTAGATCAGAGAAATTCGGCACGTGAAGACATAAGGCCAAGGTCGGACAGTCATCAATAATGCCGAGGTCGGGCAGCGATGAAGCAACTACTTTGCTTTGGAATCCGCAAAAGGAATATTCTACTAAATATTCCCTCTAATTGTACCTTTTCTTTTAGGGTTTTTCTAGGAATACCCCTTATAAATAGGAAGGGAGGACTTCCCAAAAAGGGGGCTCTCTCTCTCTCTCCCTCTCCCTCTCTCTAGAAAATATGTAAACACATCTCTCTAAAGAGATGGGAGGATCTGTGATCCCATACCTTCATCAGATCCAAAAAGGGTCTTAAGGTTCTTGTATTTGTCTATCATTCATCTTTATCAAATGAAAGAAGATCCGTCTCACTCAAGATTGGGTGAATCTTTTCCTTTATTTATATTTTATTACCACTTAATGTTACTAAATGCATCTTTCTTTATGCTATTAAATCTGGCCACAATCACTGCCAACATTTACACTCGGCTATGTTTTTCTATTCATATGGTTCATCTCGGATCTAGAGTTAATTATCCTTAACTAGGATTTATCCCTTCGTTTTCTTTGATTGATTTGTTCAAAAAGGTCCCAATATCTTTTGAGCCAACAGCTTTGTTTGTATAGAATCGCACACATCGTGCTGATAACTATTGCATTTTTGTTTTCCTGTTGCTTTTCTTTGGAGATAAGGGCAGTGATGTAGCCACATAGAGTGAAGGGTGGTCATTTGAATACCCATCATTTCGAAAAATTATTTTGAATATATAGAAAATTATACTGTGTATATAAATCAAAATTAACTTTTATACATATATATTAAACTTTGAATATCTTTAGCGAAATTCTTGGCTTCGCAACTGGATAGGGGCAATGTCAAACTCAATTATCATAAGTCAACTTACAGATTTTGGCATTGTAAAAAGAACAAAGAAAATGCCCCATTTCTTTGTTCTGTTTATTGTTTAGAAATAGTCAATCTTTAACTACTTTGGGTATCCCCTTTGTTGTACTTTTATTGAGAATTTTTTATTATTTTTTGTCACCAGATAATGCCTCCCACTTTGTACGGATTAAGTCCTTATTTGGACCTTGTTCTTAACTTAGTGGGTAACCATTGCATTAATGTCCAAAACTATGTCACATACTCACATTGCCTATAAAAATCAGAGCTCTCTACTCAAATATGCAAGACAAGTCCTAGTTCTATCCTTCCCTTTTCCAGCTATAGTTTGTTGCAAATCAAAATGACAAGCTTAGGGAAGTTGGGCCAATGGCCCTTACTAACAGCTGCTTTGGCAATTTGCTTAGTAGCCAGCACTGTTGTTGCTGATTACTCTTATGGCTATACTTCACCTTCTTACAACTCTAAGAAGTACTACAAATCACCGTCTCCATCCAAGTATGATGTACCCACTCCTTACTACAAGAAACCTGAGGAACCTGTTGCACATTCTCTATCACACTACTACAAATCTCCAGCACCTTCGAAGCACGACTATTACAAGTCGCCATCATCAATAAAATATTACAAATCGCACTTGCCAACAAAATATTACAAGTCGCATGCTCCTTCAAAGCACTACTATAAGTTACCTGTTGTAGTAAAATATTACAAGTCACATGCTCCTGCAAAGCATTACTACAAGTCACATGCTCCTGCAAAGCATTACTACAAGTCACCTGTTCCTTCAAAGAATTACTATAAGTCACCAACTCCTTCAAAATATTATTACAAGGCACCTGTTGCAATCAAGTATTACAAGTCACCTGCTCCCTCAAAGTATTATTACAAGAAACCTGTTCCTTCAAAGTATTACTATAAGTCACCAACTCCTTCAAAACACTACTACAAGGCACCGGTTGCAAGCAAGTATTACACGTCACCAGCTCCCTCAAAGTATTACTATAAATCACCAACTCCTTCAAAATACTACTACAAGGCGCCCGTTGCAACCAAGTATTACAAGTCACCTGCTCCCTCAAGGTATTATTACAAATCACCTGCTCCCACAAAGCATTATTACAAGTCCCCAACTCCTTCAAAGTACTATTATAAGTCTCCGTCGCCAGCAAAGTACTACAAGTCGCCTACACCCTACAATTCACCACCTCCACCAAAAACCTATGAACAATCACCATCATACTACTCACCTCCACCACCAACGTACTACAAGCAAATACCCACCTATGCTTCACCTCCACCACCTGTGAAGTATGAGCAAGCACCCACGTATGCTTCACCTCCACCACCAACGTACTACAAGCAAACACCCACATATGCTTCACCTCCACCACCAGTGAAGTACGAGCAAGCTGCCACCTATGCTTCACCTCCACCACCAACGTACTACAGAAAACACCCACCTATGCTTCACCCCCGCCATCTGTGAAGTACGAGCAAGCACCAACATATGCTTCGCCTCCACCACCTGTGAAGTACGAGCAATCTGCCACCTATGCGTCACCTCCACCACCAACGTACTACAAACAAACACCTACTTATGCTTCACCTCCACCACCTGTGAAGTATGAGCAAACACCCACCTATGCTTCACCTCCACCACCTATGTAGTACGAGCAAATACCTACATATTCTTCACCTCCACCACCTGTGAAGTACGAGCAAACACCCACATATGCTTCACCTCCACCACCAACGTACTATAAGCAAACACCCACCTATGCTCCACCTCCACCGCCGTCAACATCTCCCCCACCAACCTACTACTAATATTCAACCCTTCTCTTCAATCATTTTCCACTTCTCCATGACTTATAACTCCTCTTCATCCTCCTTCTGAGTATTTCCATTTTCATTCCGCCACAATTTTATGTATGTTCCCCAAAATGGTCGGCTTTGTTTGTTGTGTGTTCTTTTATTTTAATAATTTGTAATATTTATTATTTGAGTTTTAAGTAAGATCCTTGAGATCTCCATCAATTTGGCTTTATTATATCAAGATCTCTTTTTTGATGTAATTTATCAAGAATCTCTGGTTTATCATAATTATTACAGTATTATTTATCCTTTGAATACTTTAAGGTCTTTACACATAACTCCTGACAAGGTCGGCTCTAACACTATAGTGGTAAGGCTTGTGCCTTAAGCCCCCAGTTTTTGGGGCCCCATTTTTTAGAAATAATATATACTTTATAAGTTTATATGTATTTAGAAAAATGTTTATTAGTATTTTTGTAATTTTCATATAAAAGGAAAGAAAACCTTTTAGATATGTAAATAAAGTAAAGATTTGACTTACTTAAAAACGGATAGATAAATAGTTTTTAGTTTGAGTTGATTTGACAATTCTACTTTTTACTCCTTCTTTCCCAACGCTTCAATCTCTTGTTCTACATATTGCACAAACAGGGGCGGCCAAAAGGGTCAAGTAACTAAAGCAACAACTTTAAGCCCCCAAAGTTTTTGAGGACGCCAAATTTTTCTTTTTGTTATCTACCCATGTTCGGTATTTGTATTGAGACTTCGACTAATCTGGATTTGTACCGTGTAAGGCCTAGTAAAAGAGAGAACACATTTGACAAAATTGTTTTCATCCACTAGGCTCGAACTCGATACATCTAATTAAAGTAAGTTGGAACATATTCGTCTCGCCACAATCTTTAGAGGTTGGGCCTAATTATATCCAGTATTTAAAAATAACTTTTAGTTCAGTATTGATGTAACCATTTGAGCCAAAAATAGGAGAAAGAGAATTACTCCCCTAAACTCATACCACGAATATAAAATCTTTCATTATTTAAATTTTGCGATTGACATCATTAGTGAGATACCTATATTATTATTGTTCTCCTTTTTATATTTCTCACTAAAAAGGTGTAATAAACTTTTATATTCTGTCTTTTCGTATCTTCAATAGTCCAAATTATTTTTTATCTTTCTCATCAGAAAACGTGTACTACATTCTCTTATTCTCTTTCTTGGTTTTTGCAAAAAAGCTTAAATTTTCGATATGTTATATTGTTCTGTAAAAATAATTTATTTTTTCTATACAAAACAAGAGCTGAGTACTATTGAATAAAACTATATTGCGCATTCCTTTTTTTTCTCATGTTTCAAGTGTTATAACAAGTATATTAGAACATCAAAAAATTATTTTGATATCAAGTTATCAACTTCTTGAATCTGGTTCTATTACCTAAGATCAACAATATCTTAGGAGATTTTAAATTATTTATAGAAAAATTATTAACGACTTTCATCTCAAAAGCTAGAAAAATAGATTTCAAATAAAAATATAATGAATTGTTTTTTTTTTTTTCTAAAAGGCCCCAGATTAAAAATTGGCTTTAGGCCACCAATCTTCTTAAGCCGCCCTTGGACATCTATTCCAAACTCTTAGTTGAAGAGGGACCACCTAAGAGTATTATTTCTTGATAATTTTCATCTCAAGAATGGTTGATTACCTACTAAAAAAGAAAATTATGGATGTGAGTCGTAAGACGTGGTCATGGATGGACACAACAGTAAAGTTTCTTCTAACTGTACTTATCAGCTATTTAGGAAATAAAATTATATATAAATAAACAGAATAAGAAAGAAATGAAGATAATTTATACTCCCAAACTTTTCGTTAAAAATAAAGCTCCTCCCTCAACTTTGAACAATAGTCATTCTTCTTCTTTATCCTATATAATATTTTTTTTGCCCTTGAATTTTCAATTTCCTCCTCTATTTAATACTTTTTTAATGATATTTTTTATGATTTTAGCTATAATTTAAATTATGTATATCCTATTATAAATTGTAATTTAAGTTCATTAAAATTATAAGTGGAATAATCCTTTTATAAATATTTTAAATTTACTATTATCTTTATGATTGCTATTTTAATGTAATACATATTAATTATATATTTAAGTTATATTTTCTTAGTGGCAGAGCCAAAAATTCATATAAGAGGATTGAAAAATACACCAAAGAAATTTATTTAGGATTTGAACTTGTGAACTAAGATAACTTTTGAATCTCTATACCATTTTAATATCATCTTCTTATGTCAAAGGGATCCAAAATTTTACATATAACTAAAAAGTTTGTTTTTGTCCTATTTGTCCAGTCTATTTTTCAGGAAAAGGGATTCAACTGGATTCTCTTACCTTATTTGCGCGTTAACTTTCTCTCTTATTCTCTATTGTCTAGTCTATTAGAAAATATTTTAGGTTTTCCTTCAAACCCCAAGTTTCTACCAATTTTCACACTTTAATCCGCAATAAAACCGTGTATTTAACTTACCAGAGGTGGGATTAACTTACCTCATGATTGATGACGAAATCCCTCTCTTCAAGGCTCCAAAATCGCCCATCCAAAGTGAAAATGTGTGAAAAATGAGCCAAAACTCGTCCTTTAAAGAGAACACTGCCCAGCGATTCTCGCACCTGCGGTCGCTTGACCGCTTCTGCAGTCCCGCAGGTGCGGCATATGGTCCACTTCAGCGATCCTCCTCCAGCCCCTCCACTTCGCATCTGTGCCTTCTTCACCGCAGGTGCGGTCCCGCTTCTGCGGCTGGGTGACCGCATCTGCGGTCTCAGCACTCCTAGCCAAAGTCGCATCTGCGACCCTCATGGCCGCTTCTGCGGCTCCGCACCTGCGGCCAAAACCTCGCATGTGCGGTTACACCAGATATCAGCTGCTTCAGTTCTTCATTAAATTCCAAATTTGATCCGTTGATCATCTAGAATCCACCCTAGGCCCCCGGGACCCCGTCCAATCACACCAACTAGTCCCAAATTGATAGCTTCAAGGTTTCACGTATTAATTTTGATGATAACAAACCAACACAATTATTAATCAAAGAACATTTACTTGTGGTAATCTTATTTTTGTACAGGTTTATTCAAGAAAGAAGATGTTGGTAAAGATCCAAACAAATATGGGAAAGAGAATATTATGTGAAGAATTTATCTAGGAAGTTTTTTATGGGAGTGAATATCAAATATTGAATGACTCACTACAATATCAGAAGAAGAATCTACAAGATATTACGAATGGAAAGTTTTTCAACATCTTGAAAGGAAAGTTGTTAGAATCATGGAGAAGATCTATTATTTTGTGGAAGAAAAATACTACATGTAAAAGATACTACAAGACTAAGGAAGAATATATTTTCTATGGAGAGAAAATATATTATGGATGTAGTACAATCTATACTATGGAAAGAGATTATTTTCCAAGATCAAGAAATGAATATTTTCAATACAATAGGAGAAGAATATATTTTCTATGTAAAGTAAATATCTCTATTATGGAAGATTATTTTACAAGATCAAGAAAGGATTTCCAATAGGAGTCCAAAGATGCCACTATTATTTATGGGAAAATATTCTTACTACATTTCCCCTTTGGTATGAAAAAAATAATGTATGGAAATAAGTTTGAGTTCCATATAAAGAGTGACTATTGCTCTTATGGAAATTCATCAAGGCTATTCAATGAAGAATTTACATATTCAAGAAAGAAAAGTGGAGACAATTAGGATCTGTCCAAGTACATGAAGTCAAACAAGGAAAGGAAATCAATATTGCAAAGATGCCCATATCCATCTTCAAAGGAGTGACAAGTCACCATACTATCCATATTCATACAAGTGCTGGAGCTGCAAATTATGAAAACAAATAAATGAGCAACGGTCAAAATCCCCTCGGATTGTGCAATAGCCATAACAAATTGAGAGGTCTACAAATATACAAGCTCGATGAAGGAAGAAAGCGCGCAGCCTGCTATACAATTGTCTATCCAATTACAAGCTCTTTATTCTACTCTTAACAAGCATCGTAATTCACTTTAGTAGATTTACTGTGTACCCAAAAGAGAGAAGAGAGACAGAAAAATATTGGAGAGGCAGTGTGTCCTAGAGGTTGTGTCATTGTTCGTTTCTTTGGTGAGCGAGTGAAAACCAAAGGGTCGTTGTTGGTGAGCGAGTGAAAACCAACCCTGTCAGCGTTGGTGGTGATCGCTGAAAATCACAAAGGTTGTACTCAATTCAATTTACAAAGAGCTCTAAAATATAACACTCTTGCAACCCAAGAGGACTGGATTAGGATACCACATTGGTTCCGAACCAGTATAAAATTCCTGGTGTCATTTACTTTATCGCTGTCACAACCCAAATCCGGACCCGGTCGTGATGGTACCTCTCATGGGGACAAGGCCAGCCAACTAAACCCAATTCATCCTTTTAAAACAGTTAAAATAGTTCATAAGCAGTTTAAATATGATTTAATGATAATAATTAGCGGAAGTACAACCCGACACAGCCCAAACCGGGGTGTCACAAGTCACGAGCAACTATTAGAATATGAACACAACTACAAGGTCTGAAATACACATAATAGGACAAGGAACGAAAAGGGAGAAAAGCAGTGCCGCGAACACTGGCAGTCACCTCGCTAAACTCCGATAACTCTGCCTCCGATCAGCCAAAACCCGCTACCGGGTGAACAAATACCTGCATCTGCACACGAGGTGCAGGGAGTAAAGTGAGTACTCCAACTCAGTGAGTAATAAGGGTAAATAACAACTGAGCAGTAAGAAATCACGTAAAGCAAACCATCATGCTGTATAGGAGCAGTGTAAAACCCTTTGAGAGAAACAGTGAAGCTGTGAAATCTTTAGAAATATCTTAGCTCAGTTTAAAACCTCTTTTGAAAATGACTTTTCAGCAGTTATGCAAATGAATGCAAAACAAACAGTGCAGATAAGCACAGAAGTCCGCCCCTCGGGCACCACACTCAATTAACAGATAATGTCAGGCAATTCGGTAGATATCACATGAACTAGCACAAACAACAGGCAATGGCAGAAAAATGAAATAAAGTAAACACATAGAACAATACCAATACCGCTGTGGCGTGCAGCCCGATTCATATATCGCTGCGGCGTGCAGCCCGATCCATTTATCGTCGACGGCGCTCACTGGGGGTGTGCAGACTCTGGGAGGGGCCCCTTACGGCCCAAGCGCAATATCAAGCCATCTCGTGGCA